GTACGCATGCGTCTGCTGATGCGGGCAGGACGAGGCGAACTCACTCTAATGGGGGCATGATCGGATCTGTACCTGTTCCGCTGACCGACAAGGGCGACAGCTTTTGCTGCCGCATTCATTACACATTGGGCTTCTTTGTTTTCCTTTGTTTCTTTTTTTTTTTGTCAAGAACTGTGCGTGAAATGGAGAGATGATTGTGACGGGATAATCGTCATTTTTTTTTTCGCTTCGTCTTATAATGCTATAACCTTTTTTTTTTTTGAATTGCTGTTTTCTGTGTGCTGAGTTGAGGAGTTTGGGCGTGCTGCTGCGCTGAGGAAATGCGTGGCATACATTCCCACACGTCATTTGCACCAAAACATTTCCTTGTGCTTTTATTTTCTCATCCTGCGTACAAGGCACTTGCTTCTACTACTAATACAGCTATTGTCAACAAACCAACACACGCACACGCTTTTCTCAAGCCATGTGCAGGTCACGCAGTTCCGTGCCGTTTCTCCCACTGGCGCTGTTCCTGCTGCTGTTGGCGATGCACTGCGCCGGTGGGTGCCTCGCCGCCGCTCCCGCCCTGAGGCACCGCTGCAACTTCGACGAGGTGATGCGAAAAAGCGGCCCACTGCCGACTGCGGTGGTGCGTGAGCTTCCGCGCAAGGGACAGGGCGCGATGCAGGCGTACACCGTCGCCTCTGCAGGAAATGGCAACGATGCCTGGGCGCCCATCCGCATTTTGGTGTCCACGGAGGATCTGAGGGACTCACGTAAGTACTGCAATGAAACTGGGGTGTCCCGCACGGACTTCACGCGCAGTCTGCTTCCTTGCCAGGAGGGGCATGTATTCACGACGGAGAAGAAGAAGATGTACGAAAACTTTTTACTTCCTCGAGCCGTCAAGCTGCACACTGACCGGCTCCTTGTCAAACCCTTGGCTGGCGCGTTGGTTGTGCCACATGCCCTTCCTTTCCCGTGCTATGTGTTTAAAATTCCGTCTGACCACAAGTCGACGGGTGTACGTAACGCCGACATGGTCCTCTACGCTGCTGCTGGGCCAATGTCCGGTGGGGTCGCCGTGGGAAAGATGTGTGCTGTACTGGAGGATGGCCGTCCGTCGGTTGGTGTCGTGAACTACAATCCGCAGCAAATTGTTCAAAGGGAGCTCGCCGTTCGCATCCTTGCACATGAGATTGCGCACGCCCTTGGATTTGGCTACCGAAACCTGCAAAACAAGAGCCTTGTGTCTTACGAGTGGGTGGCGCGTGAGAAGTCCTCGGTGATGATGGTGACTGGAAGCAACGTTAAAGAGAAGGCGAAAGCGCACTTCAAGTGCGACTCTCTCAAGGGCATGGAGCTGGACGACACGGCCTTGAAGGGCGCGGCATCCCACTGGAAAGGACGCAATGCCCGTGACGAACTGATGGCTCCAGTCGTCGGTGTCGGCCGCTACACGGCGCTGACGATGGCGGCGTTTGCCGACCTGGGCTACTACAGCGTCAATTGGGGCATGGCGGAGCCGATGAGCTGGGGCAACGGCGTCGGCTGCACGTTCTTGGAGAAGAAGTGCAGGGAGATCAACAACCTCACCTCCATCTATTCCCACATGTTATGCGATGAGAAAGACACTGCGACGCTTCGCTGCTCAGCTGAACGCCACCACGTCGGGAAGTGTACCGGCTTCATTCGTAACAGTAATGAGAATTGCCCCTTCGTTTCGTCGTTTCTGACTAAATCCATGAGTGGGGATTCAGTTTTCAGCAGGTGCTCGGATGAGAGCGTTGCTTCTCTCCCTGGGTCGCTGACTGGCAAGGGCTCGTGGTGCCTGGATGCGGAATTCCTGCAGGCGAAGGCCAGCAACGGCAGTGACTATGCGAGCGTCAGCGGTGTGTGCGCGCAGGTGCAGTGCGCGGGGGGCAAGGTGAAGGTGAAGTACCTCGGCGGGAGTGGTTTTGAGCCGTGCCCCGAGGGCGGCGAAATCCAAGTGACGGCGTCGGAGCACTTCAAGAACGGCGGCAAGATCAAGTGCCCGAGGTACGAGGAGGTGTGCACCGTCGCCGCTGATGGCAGCGGGTTCCCCTTTGAATGGGATGAGTTGGAGCTCCAACGTGCGAACGCGGGTCCCCCGCACACTTTTTCCAACGGCGTGCTTCCGTGGGCGCGAAATGCCTACGCCTACATCACGGGCAGGGACGGCAGTGCGGCAGCCGCTGTTGGCTTAAGTTCCTTTGCGCTTCTTGCTGTGATCACCGCCGCTGTGGCAGTGCTGCCGCTTTAAGCAGCTGCCGTGATTGGGGACAGGCACTGCACGTCTGGGCCCAAAAAAAAGGAAAAAACGTGCGACGCGTCCCTACGGAGCCCTGCGCACGATGCGTAAAACATCACTAATATACTACACACCCTCACCCCCCACTACCCCCCTTTGTTTTTTTCAAGGACGGACACTAACGATTTTTGCTTTGTTTTGTCCACTGTTCGTGGCAAGACCGATATTTATGTGTTGATGAGGGATGGAATTTTTTTTTGAAAATTGTGTGAAAAAAAAAAACTTTTTGCGGAAAGGAATGACTCCAGCATTGCACGTACGCATGCGTCTGCTGATGCGGGCAGGACGAGGCGAACTCACTCTAATGGGGGCATGATCGGATCTGTACCTGTTCCGCTGACCGACAAGGGCGACAGCTTTTGCTGCCGCATTCATTACACATGGGCTTCTTTGTTTTCCTTTGTTTCTTTTTTTTTTTGCAAGAACTGTGCGTGAAATGGAGAGATGATTGTGACGGGATAATCGCATTTTTTTTTCGCTTCGTCTTATAATGCATAACCTTTTTTTTTTTGAATTGCTGTTTTCTGTGTGCTGAGTTGAGGAGTTTGGGCGTGCTGCTGCGCTGAGGAAATGCGTGGCATACATTCCCACACGTCATTTGCACCAAAACATTTCCTTGTGCTTTTATTTTCTCATCCTGCGTACAAGGCACTTGCTTCTATACTAATACAGCTATTGTCAACAAACCAACACACGCACACGCTTTTCTCAAGCCATGTGCAGGTCACGCAGTTCCGTGCCGTTTATCCCCCTGGTGCTGTTCCTGCTGCTGTTGGCGATGCACTGCACCGGCGGGTGCCTCGCTGCCGCTCCCGCCCTGAGACACCGCTGCAACTTCGACGAGATGATGCGGAAGAACGGCCCGCCGACTGCGATGGTGCGTGAGCTTCCGCGCAAGGGACAGGGCACGATGCAGGCGTACACCGCCACCACAAAGGAAGATGAAGGTGACTGGAAGCCCATCCGCATCAGGGCTTTCGTTGTTGCTGAGAACGACACCAGCGTAACCTGCATAAAAGCGG